ATAGTATTTGAGTAAAAAATTATTCAAAACCAATATTTTGCAATTTTTAGTAATTAATATCTTGTTAACTATTGCGAAAATTGCAAAATGGTAGATGACTTTTCGACTCAGTTTAATCCGCTCTATGAACTTAACTATTGCGAAAATTGCAAAATGGTAGATGACTTTTCGACTCAGTTTAATCCTCTCTATGAACACAAAAGTAATTGGCAAAAAAGATCGGGATAGCCTATACAAGAATACGCCGAGCGGCCGAGAAAGTACATTTTCGGTTTTCGGTCGCTTATAACAAGCGACTAGTAAAGAAAGCGAGGCAGCGAGATAGAGCGGCCGTCCTTTTCGCTCTAATACTCGCTTGTGTTTACGAGTTTACTGGAGAGCGAAAAGGACGGGCGCTGCCTCTCGCTGTCTCGCTCGCTCTCGCGGCGAAGACGGCCGACTCGATGCCGGTAGGTGGGGGTAAAAGTGGTGGGGCTGGATTGCGTGTTGCCGGGGAGCCAATTGTGCATCACTGTGTAGATGTTCAAATATCCGTGATTTGCCAATAGGTGGCACTAGGAGCGCTACGAAAAATTAGAGAAATTATGTCCTTATAATTCCACGTTATGAAATACATAGGAGGAGTAATTAACGTTTGTTGAATTAAGAAAGTTGTAATGAAATAATCTGTGCATATACAAATAAACTGAGAGATATATCGTAAGCAATTTAATAGTAAAGCATAGTTTAAACTTCGTGTGTGCATATATAAAATATATAAAAGTATCTGCATGACGTTGAGGTAAGAGTGTTTATAATGTTTGGTACATAAACAAAATGCGCTTAAATGCTGAGGTTTTGTAGGTGAAGGAAAGGCGAACAATAATTTTCCTGACCTGTGTGAACCTGGCACCCGACTTTAAGAAAAACAATTTTTTTTATATACATTGGATAGAGCTAGACTAGGTTTGTACCCAATTGTACCACCGTTCTTTTCGTTTGTACCTCAAGGGGTTGAGAGAAAAAAAAATTAAAAAAAAAGTTAGCACCCCACTTTGAGATAATGAAATTTTTCAAACGCCATCAAATTCAGAATCGTTTGTACCCGTTTGTACCGCAGTTCGTTTCGTTTGTACCCTCAAGGGGGTGATTGTACCGAATTTTTAAGATAGTGGTGAGCGCTAATTCCGCCAATTTTTAAGATATCTTAAATCTGTAAACGGGTGCTGTTTCGGCATCGCTTGTAGACGTTTGTACCACCG